CTAGAATTTAGAAACAAGTTCAATGGGAAGAGCGATTCAAATACTCACGTCAACGAGTACCTCCTCTCCGTGCAAGCTTTGCGAGATATGCCTAACCAGCTGAAGGCCATATTTTCGCAAACATTGACTGACGAGGCCTTAAAGAAGTCCTCGCTCATTTTAACACTACTTTAAATGAGTTGGAGAGCTGAAGGTTGCATCATGAGACAAAGACCAATAGGCTGGCTTCCTTGGAGGAGTCAATCTCACGTCGTCGTGAGGGACTAGATTTCTGCTCTCAGAAGAAGGCCACTATGGTTGCCCATCAGCTCGATCTCAAGATGGAGGGGTGAACTTGCTTCAATAGGATGACAGGCATAAGGGCGGAGATACGAAAGCTGAAGGACAAATGTATCGATCTTGAGAGGGATATGATTCAGAGAAGGGCCTTGGATGCTTCTTTGGCTGAGGATCTATCAGAACTCACTCGCACTATCGAGTCAGAAACCACCTTCATGGAGTAGGAGGCTCAAATGGTGGTCGAGCTGAAGGAGCATATCCAGCATGCCGAGGCTTCTTCTGCAGCATCCGGAGCAAAGATCAATAAGATCATTGATCATTTTTTAGAGTGTCCTTTCTTTGTCAGAACTTGTAAAACTTTTGAATTCAAGCCCTCGCTCCCGTTCAAGAGGAAGCCTCACTACAAACCCTTCATGAGCATGCACTGGACCTTTCAGAGCCCTCGACCTCTCAGCCCTGGGAAGTCTACCATGGGCGAAGTAGGCTCAAGTCCCTAAAACAAGAGGCAATCCACCAAGTTAAGGCCACTCACCAGTCTGATGGGGCATTCCAAACACCCCCTCAAGGATCACGATGGAGATGGCGAGCACCTAGGTCAGCCCAACGAAGGAATCATCTTCATCGGCCACTAGTTGAGGAAGAATTCCTCAGGCCCCTTCCTCCGCTGCCGACCTTGCGGGACTTCATCCCAGGTGCAGCTCGTCTCATCTTATCGTCCAATCAGGCAGACGACCCTGAGTTATTAGTATCTCGAGAGTCGACCAAAATGGGTGATGACGTTAAAAGCACCCCACGATGATCAAAGTCAAGGCATGACCTTAAATACCACCTGCAAACGTCCAATTTCGGCGACGACATAAAAAGCTTCCCGAGATGTTTTAACTCTTCTTCTCCTTTCCCCTCCTCCTTTCCCCTCCTCTATTCCTTCTGTAGGTACCACTCAGCGATGCCTAGATTTCGACACTCTAAACAAAGAGTTCCAAGGCACCAGCCTCACCAAGCTACAGTAAGAACGCCTCAGAGAAATACTGACCCAAGCGACAAGATTCTCTACAACCATCGACGCTCTGGTAACACGGGCCAAAACTGAACCACCTTCGAGCTTCTGCTCTCACAAGGCTTGTCACATGATCCGAGTACATGAGGCGTCGCCCAGCTCGAGGCAAGTACCGATTGAGCCCAATCATGAGATCATGGACCCCCCGCTTGAAGAGGACCCTTCCATCACCTGGACCAGCCAAAGACCAGTCATCTTCCATGTTGTGCCCCATCTAGAGGCCGAGATGTCAGGATCATGGGTGGCCACATTCAAGATTAAAGAAAACCCTTGTGAGTCCCCCGACAAGGAGCTCCAGGAAGCCCCTGAAGAGTGGGAAGAGGGACGGGTAGGCTACGGCTGATGAGCTTGAGGAGATTAATCTGGGGGATGAGGCCGACCCAAGGCCAACCTTCATCTCAGCAAAGATGTCCCCAGAAGAGAAAGAAAGTTATATCTCTCCCCTTCGAGCAAATCGGGACATCTTCGCTTGGCATTATCATGAGATGCCCGATCTAGACCCCCAGATTGTTGTCCATCACCTCGGTATTTATCCAACCATCAAACCCATGAAGCAGAAATCAAGAAGGTTTAGGCTCGACCTCGAGATGTAGATCGCTGCTTAGGTGAACAAGCTTATGCAAGATGGATTCATACATGAAGTCAAACACCTAAGATGGTTGGCGAATGTCATCCCAGTCAAGAAGAAGAATGGCCAAATCAGGGTCTGCATCAACTTTTATGACTTGAGCACTGCTTGTCCCAAGGACGATTTACCCCTTTCGTTCACCGAGATGCTGGTTGACTCCATGGGCCATTACCAAATCTTCTCTTTTATGGATGGTTATTCTAATTACAACCAAATCAGGATGGCACTAAAGGATGAGGAGGCCACTGCATTCTTGACTCCAAAAGGTGTCTTTTGCTCATTGTGATGCCTTTTGGGCTAAAGATTAATGGCACCACGTACCGGTGAGCCATGAAAACCATCTTCAAGGACATGATTCACAAGGAGGTCAAGTGCTATGTGGATGACTTGGTGGTAAAGTCTGAAATAAAAGCCACTCACGTGCAAGACCTTAAAAAGGTGTTTAAGTAGCTGCGGCGTCACCAGCTCAAGATGAACCCCTTAAAATGCGCCTTCGGCATATTCTCAGGAAAAAATTTAGGGTTTATCATGAGATACCGTGGGCTGGAGATCGAGCCAGTCAAAATCAAGGCAATTCAAAACATGTGGGCGCCTACAACCCTCCATAAACTGCGGTCTCTCCAAGGACAACTCGCCTACATTCGAAGGTTCATTTCAAACCTTTCAGGGTGATGTAGACCCTTTTCACACCTCCTGAAGAAGGACACTCCCTTCATATGGGATGAAGCATGCCAACCTGCGCTCGAGGACATCAAGCAGTACTTGTTGAATCCACCAGTACTCTCTACGCCAGTGTTAGGAAGGCCTCTCATCCTATACGTGACCACCCTCGATGAGTCACTGGAGCCACTCCTGACGTAGAACAATGATGGAGGGAAAGAGACAGTGCTCTATTATCTCAATCATAGAATGCAAGGGGTCGAGAAGAATTACCCTCCCATCGAAAAAATGTGCCTAGCCTTGATCTTTGGGGTACAGAAGCTCTGCCATTACTTGCTCAGCCACGAGGTCAAGTTAATCTCTACGGCAGACCCAGTCAAGTTCCTTATGACCCGACCATGCTTGTCAGGACTTTTGGCCAAGTGGGCACTATTGCTGATGGAGTTCGACGTCACGTATGTACCACAGAAGGCAGTTAAAGGTCATGGGAAATGTACTTTGACAGAGCATTGCAGTCTGATAAATGGGGCGCTAGAGTTGTGTTCCTGACTCCCGGTGGAGGAATAATTCCTCTATCCTTCTCACTTGTAGAGGCGTTTTCTCATAATGAAGCCCTCATAATCAGATTGAAGATCACCCAGGAGCTAGACTTAGAGTAGCTAAATATCTTTGGCGACTCTGAGCTAGTCATCCGGCAGCTAAAGGGGATTTATGACGTAAGGAAGGATACTCTCAAGCCTTATCACGACATAGGCAAAACTTACATGGCCCAGTTCGATGACTTCTCCCTGAGTCATATCCCTAGAAGGCTAAACTCACAGGTTGATGCGCTCTCAAAGCTCAGCATAGACCCACTCCAGTCTGGGTAATTGAATGGAGACATGTTGACTTGAGAACTGAAGTTGACACAGACACCAAGAAGGATGTCTTCCCTATGTGTCTGCCTTTCCCACTCGGGGCACTTCTCGCGACTAAGGATGTCATCAAGACAGAGCATGAAATTTCTCAAGGAAAAGAATCCAAGGCCAGGGAGCGAGAGCTCGGATTCTTCGACCTGATAAGTAGAAGATTGGAGGGAGCCCATCATGGACTTCATAAAACATGGGAGGTTGCCTCAAGATCAGGCAGAACGCAACGACGTATGACGGATGTCCACCAAGTACACCCTTCTCGATGGGGATGTCCTCTTTCGTCGGTCATTTGACAGAATCCTCCTCAGATGCGTCAATGCATAAGAGGGAAACAAAGTACTCGACGAAGTGCACTCGGGCATCTGCGGGCTGCATCAGTCTAGCCCCAAGCTCTACGAGCGCATACGTATAGCTGAGTCTTCCATGGTGGCTGACACCCAAAACTATACCAAAAGATGCCAGGTGTGCCAAATTCACTCTCAAGTCTCATTCATCAGACCCCATAGCCTCTCCATCCTACAGTGACATCATGGCCCTTTTCCCAGTGGGGCATGGACATTGCAGGACCCATCGACCCTCCTTCTGCTTTGGGTCATGCCTTCAGCCTGGCTGCAACAGACTACTTTTCCAAATGGGCTGAGGCAGTCCCTCTCAGATAGGTTCCAGGGACTATTATGGTAAACTTCGTATGACACCACATCATCTACCGGTTCAGGGTCCTGGATTGAATAACTTATGATAACAGCCTTAGGTTCAGGAGCCAGCATGTGGATCGCCTAGTCAACCAGCTCGGTTTTGAGTGGAAGTACTCGACTATGTACTACCCTCTAGCCAATGGGTTAACTGAGGCGTTCAACAAGACTTTGTGTAGGGTGCTCTGGAAGTTGGTGTCAAAGTTAAAGAAGAACTGGCATGAGAAATTGCCGGAGGCTCCGTGGGCCTATCGCACTACCACTCACAATGCTACGAATTCCACCCCTTATTCCCTGGTCTATGAGGATGAGGCGGTCCTACCCCTCGAAATTCAAATACCCTCACTCCATGTTGCTTTACATCAGGGACTAACTAAGGACAAGAGGGTCAGGCTCAACTACCAAGAGTTGGATGCCCTTGATGAAAAGAGACTAGAGGCCCAACAGAACCTCGAGCTCAATCAAGGAAGAATGAAGAGAGCCTTTGACAAGTATGTTAAGGATCGTTCATTCGCTCGTGGGGACCTAGTCCTAGCAGTCAAGAGACCGATCGTAATGCACGGGCATCTGAAGGGAAAGTTCGAGCCTAAGTGGGAGGGTCCATTCATAATCAAGAAGGTTACACCATGTGGGGCCTATGTACTGACGAACTCTAATGAAGAAGAGGTGATGCCCCCCATCAACGGGCGATATTTAAAGAAGTATTAGCCCTAACATGGTAATAAAGTGTGGTGTGTGCAATAAAAAGATAGAAACGAAGATGGGAAACATCAAGCCAGGTCAAAGGAAATTCATTTCTTTATTGCATTAGAAAAAGTTGCAGGTTACAACCGAAGGTCCATTGTCAAGGAAGTTACAAAACTCTTGCATCTGAGGATAAGAGAATGGTTACAGGCCAAAAGAAAAAGCCAACCACTTTCGAGTCAGCTTCAATTCCTCTAACAAGTATATCAAACATGCAGGGCATACTTCTCTCACAAGGACCTAACCTATGATGGAGAGCATACCTTCACAGTTGATGCCCTTCCATAGAATAATATGGACTTCACGGTTGTGTTAGAGGACTTGGCTTCCAACACACCACGATAGCAAGGCCTCCCCGTTTGCCATCACTCCGCAAGACATCGTCGTCCGAGGTCATCACCATGCGCAACACATTGCCACGTCCTATCATCACCACGGGCAGGCTAACGCCGCGAGCCTCATGCCCCCAAGCGTGGCTATCACCTTGTGTAACCCCAGGACATGCGAAGGCGGTGCTGCATATGACTTAATGGCATGCGTGACATTGAAGTACCCCAGTTCCCAATGTTCCCCATTTCTGGGGGGCATTGACGCTTCTTCGGTTCCCCAAATAGTCACCCCACACCAATGGCATACCTCCCCATGACCTTTCGCCTTCCCCGTAATCCTTCGGGTTTCACAGGGAATTTAGTCCCGCCCTGCCGAAAAATCCTTCCCACCTTCTGCTCCTTGCTAGAGTTAGCAAAAAACCACCAGAAGTCCCCAAACAAAGCTCCCCTAAGTCTCTGCAACCCTACGGACTGCCCTTCTCCCTGGTTTCCCACTTCAACAGTTCACCAAAGCTCACCAAAATTTCGCTAAGTTTTCGGTGAATGCAATGCAGCTTGTCTCCTTCTCCTCCAACAACCAGAGATTTAACATAGCCCTATGAGCTCTCTGCGACCTCCCCTTCAGCAGCAGAACGACTGGAGGGGCACTGAAACTCTGACAAGGCACCTCTACAAAACCTGCTAAGGCCCTGAGAAGGCCTGTTCCTTACTCAGAAAGCCTCGTCACTTCTCGAAAAGGTTCACAATCACGCTGTAAAGCTTCGCACCTTTTGAAGCTCACCAGAAAAATCCCTAAAGATTTGTCCCTACACATTTTGGCCATGAAATGCTCGCCGAACAATCCTAACCATAAAGCTTTGGCTCTCCCTCTCTCTAAAAAGCTTTCTATTGTTTTACCCATCGGTCAAACAGTTCTCCCTTTTTTATACCTTGCAGTATCGAGAACTGTCCCCGACAAACTCGGAATGATGCTTCAGTACCCTGCTCTTGATGACAATAAGACCAGGCCGGGGTGGACCAAGCCTGAGACCTGAAGCGTCATCATCGTGCACCTCATCAAGACTTGCGTCGCGTGCCTCATCAAAAGGCTAGTGCCGTGCGCCCCACCAGAAGCTATCGTCGGGCATCTCATCCAAAGATTATCATCGCGCGTCTCATCCAGGGGTCATCACCAAGCACGTCTCACCCAAAGAACATCATTGCATGAAACGTCGGGGCCTGCTGTCGCGTGCTTCACC